AGAAAAATTTGTGGAATAGAAAAATCAGTAATATCATAAAATACACTCATTGCCATAAAAATTAGCACACCAAGAAGGAGTTGTCATAGTGCTGCAAAATTTGGCATGCAGATAAGTCTCCAGCAGATATGGGAATGATTAGAGTTATAGCATGATAGCTCATTGCATAACATCAGCAGAGGGACACTGTATTGCTAGAGATGCCTTTAAGTCACAAGCATAGACCATATGAACAACTAACTGAGTTCGAGAGAGGAAGGATCATCAGGTTGAGAAAAGCCAGATGGTCATCTCTCTGAATAGCCCTCCATCTGGGTCGTTCTCACAGCACTGTGAGGAGGCATTGGGACCAGTGGATGAGAGAGAGCGTGCATACAAGGCACCCAGGCTCTTGATGCCCTCGGCAGACCACTATTCAAGAGGACTGCCTGGTCCTCTGACAAGCATTCATACAGTCAACTATATCATTGTTGGCTATGTGCAAACTTGTGCATCACTATCCAGACACCGGTGGCGGCATTGTGCAGACCCTTGTTTGTCTGCACCATTTCGAGATGTCTGGGAGAGGGACATTTGGTATCGCAGCAGCTATTATATTTCCTGCCATTGGCTGTTGCCTCTATTTGGAGTGGTTTCACTCCTGATGGGATTAGACCACAATGGAATGGAACCAGGTTGTCTATAGCAACAAATCCAGATTCAGTTTGGACAGTGACAATGGCTGTCTTCGTGTGTAGAGACCTGTGAGGTACACCTTAATTCTGACTATACTTTGAAGTGGCACACTGCCCCCACAGCTGGTGTGATGGTCTGGGGTGCCATCACATACAACAGCCGGTACCTCTAGTAGTGATCCAAGTGACCGTGACAGCTCAGTGGTATGTTAGTGGCATCCTACAGTCACATGTTGCCTATCATGGCAGGGCTCCCAAGAGCTATTTTCCAACAGGAGAATGCTTGATCATACACAGCAAGGGTGTCACAGGACTGCTTTCACCACACTTTCCTGATCTGCCCAGTCCTCTGATTTGTCACCAATCAAACATGTCTGGGATCATTTGAGATGCCAAGTTGGACAGCTTAGGAGTTTGTCCGAACTACAGGACCTCTTGCAGCAACTGTGGACCGAGATGCCACAGGATGCCATATGGCACCTGTATGCCTCCATGTCTGCCTGTATCACAACGTGTATTCATGGTAGAGGTGGCTCAACAGATACAACAACTGCCTTTCATTTGTAGTTTTTCTAGCAATAAATAATCCTTTTACTTTCATTTTGTAATCACTTACTTATATTACCATTACATTCATACAGGTACAATTTTATTTGATTTTGACAGCTCCTTCTTGATGTGCTAATTTTTATGGCAATGAGTGTAACACCAAAAATACACGTGAACATAACTTTTTATTAAAAATTGTAGATTACAGAATTCATAATAGTAAAAAAATAATGTTTGTAAAAACTGTAACTAAAACAGCTCTTATAAAAACGGAACTTCTTGAAATCAGTTATAATGCAATACATGAGCTTGTTGGCTTTTGCAGCTTTCATCAATATCAGGTCTAATATGTAATATAGCTACCCACATTATTTTGTCTATATTAGTTAATCTGTTTTGATTTTGAGTTTTTATATTGGTGAATGTGAGATCTGAACTCTCACAAATGTGATGTTGAAAACTATAATAAAATTTTTAATGCCCTTGTTGAGAGAGCTGATTATTTGAATTAGACAGAAATTCAAAAATCCTATGGAATTATTTCAGAGAATTTCATTTTTAATGTACCATCCATTGACAAGGTAACCAATTGTTATTCTTGTACCTAAAACTCACAGATTGATGTATTAACTGTGTCAAATTGATTCCATGTCATTCATAATTTTCTATATTTAAGGAAGGAAAGTAACTTGCAATCTTTTCTTCCAGTAGTACTAAATGGAAAAAATTCCCACAACATTTTTACTATGAAGTGAAGGAAATGTATCTATTGTATTATTTTTTTTTTATATATATATACAGTTTTTCCAAAGAGATTCTTTTACCAGAAAGCTGACATTTGTCAGTGGATATCAAAATATTTTCAGTTTTTCCATAGATATTTGTATTAATTAATGCTGTTCAAGTAATTAAAAATATCAACTACACACACCATTTTAGCATACCAAATAGCATTTTTGAGACATTTTTATAAAAGCATTTGTGCTTTCATTAACAATTCATTTTTAAGTTCTAAAAATAGGCCTAATATTTTACTCCTGAATGAGCAATTACAGTGGAACCTTGCTTAACGAGCACCTCTCATAATGAGTAATTCACATAATGAGCAAAACTAAAATAATGGCCCACTTAATGAGCAGTGTTTCACATAATGAGTGACAAGAAGAGGGGACGTCCCGGATTGTGCTCATGCTCCATCAGTCTGTGTTTAGCAGTTGTTCTGCTAGCATCTTATATGTTAGTATTGCTTGTTATCACACATTTTTTCAAACTTGTGTTCAGACATATTACATATAAACATCAACAACCATAGCCCATTATTACAGTGGCTAGAATATACCATTATATAATAAACACACTAAACAATATGCCAAATTCTTGGGCTATTTAAAGGCTATAATTAAATATTAGAAATTAAATAATTTGACTAAAGGTAAGCACTTATGCTGCCATCTTGTATTAAATTTATTGACTGATTCCAAATTAAATTTTTATTTATTTCTGTTTTCTGCAAATCAAATTTGCATTTCAGATTGGTTCATTCTGCACTAGAAGAAAAGATGATGTTTATTCATTCTATTTAACAATGTATATTGTATAATTTTCTTTAAATAAACATTATAAATAAAATATTTGTAAAAAATTTTTTCCGCATGGAATGCATTATTGTATTTTACATTAGTTTATATGGGAAAAATTGTTTTACATTATAAGTAAGATTCTGGAATGAATTATGCTTGTTTAAGTGAGGTTCCACTGTATTTTATTGTAACATTGTCACAATGCTGAGCTGCAATTTTTAATCATATTTTTAATTTATTTAATTTAAAATATATACTCTCTACCTCAAATTAATAGTGGCTTGCCTCTGTACATCATACTTTTTCTTCTTAGCAATAGGGTTGTGCTGGTCATCTATCTAACTCCTTTTGGGAGAATAGTTTTGAATTGAAATAACGACTTCTGGTTTTGCATCGGAAGTTAATATATAGTTAATCGGGGTCTCCTCCCTAAGCTTTCCATATCAGGTCTCAGTTTTCATCTGACTCCATTCTCAAGATTAAGGAAGGACAGACAGACAATCAGACAATAGTGGGAATTTATAGGTCTACAATAACTATTGTACTTCAGCCCACAAAAGCATAGATTCCTATTTAATCTTCCCTAGATATTGAAATTTTTAAAAAAGTGTTTTTAATGATCTTGACTTGACATAATTTAATATATTTACAACATACTCTTATAAAGGTTTTAACATTACAAGTAATGTTTTAAAACTAGGGATTCTCTATGCAAAAAACATTGCTCAGATGTAATATTTGAGTTTTTTGTCTTTGCAAAGAATCATAATTGCAAAATATCATCACCAAGGGATGCTTTTCTAAATCTACATTTTCCAGCGCTTCTTCGTCATAGATAAAAAGCCGAAACACCCCAAGAAGGTTAGATGGTTATCAAGAAGACATTCGTATACTACCAGTTCCTATTTTAGAAAAATTTTATATTTTTTAATTGGAAATTTTTGTGTTTTTAAAGTGACTTTTTAGCGTTTGGTGGCTAGTAGCCATAATGACTGTAGTTCATTGCAAAATACAGTTGCATCTTGTCTGTGTTGTAAACTGTGAAGTTATGCTAAAGTTCATCCAATCTTAGTTTTAGCTAGTATGCTGTTTCCATAATTTTTTTACAGAACACTGGTTAAGAACCACCGATTTACTTAGTTGGTCACACGTTTAACTCATAGTTGTCATATTGTGGGGGCCGAGGGGGGAGAAAAATTAAAAAAATCTCGACGAACGATAATATGTGATATGTATCGTCATCGTCTCCCTTGCCGTTTGGATTGCCGAGCGGTAACAATTGACGACATGTGAAAGCAGTTGAGTCAGAGATAGATGCCTCGTTTACAAACAACACAACCGTTTATTAAACACGAAAGAAGCTTACAAGATTTCCGCGATCTTGGAAGTTCTACATCGGCTGCGGTCGCTGGGTCTTCCTCTCCTGTGGTTCCACGATAGTCCCATTTTGAAGGAGTGTCCCTTGTTTGAGAATGAACCATTCCATCACGTCTCGACGACTCCGGGACGATGCGGTCGACTTCCATTGAGGGAAAGATGTCGATCCGAGGTCGGGAGATGGAGACGAAGATGGGTGCGAGACACACACACAACAACAGATTTGTCACTTGGAACTTTCGGGAGAAGCCGTCACGTCCTCGAATTTCCGGGGTTTTATCCGTTTTCTCTCAGATTCCCCTTTCCAATTGGTCTCTCCTCGTCACCTGATGACAATTCGAAACCTTTCGAGGGCGCGGGAGAGGTCAAAATCGAAGTTTAATTCGATCTCCAACCGGAAATGGTCTACAGACTTACATTCTTCTATTGTTTAAAAGTTAGCGTCGCGTTTTCATATCATAAAAATCTATTTTATATTTTTTTCTCTAAAATAATTATTTTAACACGAATTTTAGTGAGGGTTCTGACCTGTCCAGAGCCTCACAATATCCTTATACCATTTCTGTCTCCAAATTGTTTGTTGCTGACTTTTCTGTGTGTCCTTTATTGTTGTTTATAGTATTTGGTATTTATTTAACAAAACAATAATTGATCATTTTCAACTTTTGGATAATTGTATGTTATCAGTTTTCATTTTTTAGTGTTTGATAAATATTAAACAAAATTCTTATTATAAAATCTATATTTTGTAATATGTCAATATCATAAACAAACAGTTTGATTTTATTTACATCATTAAAATGATTTATTTATTTTCTAGGTACTTGTATTGTGATGAGATCAATTTGGAAGCTGATACTGTGTTAGCTACTCTGTACGCAGCTAAAAAGTATCTTGTGCCTCATCTGGCTCGTGCTTGTGTTTCTTATTTGGAGACCAGTTTGACTGCAAAAAATGCATGTGTTCTTCTTAGCCAAAGTCGTCTGTTTGAAGAACCCGATCTAATGCAGCGCTGCTGGGAGGTGATTGATGCCCAAGCTGAATTAGCACTTTCGTCTGATGGATTCGTAGATATTGACTACAACACTCTAGAGTCGATCTTGCAACGGGAGACCCTAAACACCAAAGAGTTGGTGTTGTTCCGAGCAGCTGTCAGCTGGGCGGCAGCCGAATGTGCCCGAAGGGAGTTGGAGCCAACTGCCGAAAATAAGAGAATGGTGCTCGGCAAGGCATTATATCTGATCCGCATCCCAGCCATGGCTCTAGAGGAATATGCAAATGGAGCGGCTCAGTCTGGCATTCTGACTCTACAGGAGACCACCGATATTTTTTTATTCTTCACGGCCTGTAATAAGCCAAATTTGAATTTTCCAACAAAACAAAGGGTTGGCCTCAAAACGCAGATCTGTCATCGATTTCAGTCGTCTGCCTACCGAAGTAACCAGTGGCGTTACCGGGGCAGGTGTGATAGCATCCAGTTCTGTGTGGATAAACGAATTTTTATCGTGGGCTTTGGCTTATACGGGTCAAGCAATGGCTCTGCAGATTATACAGCCAAAATTGAACTGAAAAGAATGGGTAAGGTGTTGGCAGAAAATAAGACCAAATTTTTCTCGGATGGTTCCAGTAATACCTTCCAGGTGTATTTTCAGCATCCCATTCAGATTGAAGCAGACACATTTTATACTGCTTCCACTATTCTAGACGGAGCCGAACTCAGTTATTTTGGACAGGAAGGTCTGACAGAAATTACTGTTGGCTGTGTCACATTCCAGTTTCAGTGCTCTTCTGACAGCACCAATGGCACCGGTGTCCAAGGTGGGCAAATTCCTGAACTTATCTTTTATGGACCATCTCCTGATTCGTGAAGATTGCTTTAGCTGCAATGCCAGAAATCCCAACCTTTCTTTTTCATCATTTTTTGCAGATTTTTATTTATGGGTTAATGTATTTTATTGATAGCTTCACGTAATGGTAATATGTGTTAATGCCATCACTATTACTCATTTTATTTTTCAAAGTATTCAGTAAAAATAGATTTTTTGTTCATTAATATATTTACTTGAGTAAATATACTCAAGAACAAAAATTCTATTGTTCATCCAATGATAAGTGTGTGTGTGTGCATATGTTCTTATCATTGGATGAACTTGATAATCTTTTCACCACTTACTTTTTATATACATATTTAGAAATTAGGTGATAGATGAATGTCTACTTTTCTGTAGGTCATTAGATATATTTCGAATCATTTTTTTAATATGAGGGATTAAGTCATTACAAAAGTTTTAAATACAAATCATTATTTTCTTTTGCAAATCCTAATAAAAGTGGATAGTTAATCTCAATTAATTATGAAAATCTTTGTTAAGGTGAATATATTTTAAAGAACTTTATGGTTTTCCTTTCGTCTATTATATTTACTCACAGAGAAGATAAATTTTTACATGTGGATAGCTAACAAAATTGTTGACTGCCAAGTAGAATAGAAGACTAGTAGCAATTAAGATGAGCTTTTTCTCGCGTGTGGCAAATTGTAGTACAATATTTATAATATATACATATAAATATATATATATATATATAAATCTAAATATATAAAGATACTATGCATCTCAGCAAATTGCCAGAAAATATGCAGTAAAACAAATATAGCAACTTTTTGCCTAATTTAAATGCTATATTATATTAAAATATACATATAGAATGTGAATTGAGAAGGCATTTTAATTTTTTAACTTGTATTATGTTCATCTATTTTGTTAATTTAGAGGTGTTGTGGTATTGCATTGGAAATTGCTTACGTTTGGAAATCGAACACACTAGGTAGACATAAATTGGGTATTCAAAAGGCGAAAATATTTAGAAAATTTATTATTCTGTTGTTAATTAAAGTAGCTTTTATTTTTCAATATTTACATACTGCAATTTCTTTCTTGTTTAGAATTGTTTCCTACACTTTATATGACAATGCAGATTATTTTATTGCAGGTAATTTATACTGGAAACATATTCCGGAATTGGTAATTCGTCTCGCTTCTTGCGAGTTTTCATAGCTTTCTTTGCGTTAACCAATTACGTTTACAATACGGAGAGATTCCTAATAGTACCAGAGATATCGTACACAGAAAATGCTCAACGTCGTCCAGCCAACGATCAAAGAAAAATTTATACTCTCTTACTCGAACAAATCAATTGCCATCCTTGCAGATTTTAAAGCTATATAATAATGTTACAACTTATTTTCTATAAAAGTGCAATTTCATAACAAACAGAATTCTGTCTGACATTTCTCGTCAGACCATTTTTGGGAGATTTTGCTAATTTTCCTTTCTATTAAGCACTCACGATGGAAATCGAATTACATTCCGGCATTGCAAATAACAGTTTTTTTAAAATTTGAGAATATGGTTTGAAACTACAAGTTGCAATGCCGACATGGGGCAAAACAAATACCATAACAATTAAAAAGGATAAGTGTACAGTCTGGTAACATAATGGAAGAGAGCGAGAGGCATTTAGATTTCTAGAATTCCATTTTTGTTTACATAGCAAATTTGTTCCATAACACCTAAGTAACATAATTTGAGACTGTTGTTTTTTGTATTTCCAGTCAGATAAAAGTCAATTTTTACATAACCATATAAAGAATAGAACTTTTCTGCTTTAAAAATTCCAGATGATTTTCTTAAATGTTTAGACAGATTTGTTTGGCTTATATAAAAGGCATTTCCTAAAGAGTTTTATTTCATTTCATGTAATCATATTAAGGATAAATGTCATCAAAACAATCCAGAATATTGTTTAAGCATGTCAAATTTCTAATTTCTAGAATTTGTCACTTTTGTAACAAAGGAAGGTTTTATAAAGCATCGTTATTGTTAGATATATCTACATAAAATATGGTGGAATCGTTCAATATCGGGCTTTATTTGGAACTGCCATAAAATTGAAATTTAAGTGGAATCGAGTGCCATACGGACGTTTTATTTTCTAACGGAAGGGATCATCTCGGAACAGCGTGGAGTCTGAAGAAGGACGGAAACAAATTAAGTAAATATCCTAGGATGTGAAATTGAAGTGTCGTTCGTGCGTGTGCGTGTGTAAATAAACAGTCCCTGTCTGTTTTGTGATAACCAAGTAATGTAAGTTACCCAGTCGACCAAACAAAGCAATAACTGCTGTAAATAACCTTTCGTCGGATGCCACGCGTGAAAAATTTGATTATTGCCAAGTGATTCTCCCAAAGAGTTTATATTTCTCTTTGGAAATATAGCAGACTCGCTCTGTGGTATTCGCACCGGGAACCAATGCCATTAACATGCGGCGAAAGATTAATTCTCTAGTCAAAATGCGGTCCGGACGTAACGTTCTACGTCGGAAAAGCGTGAAAGTAACCTTTTCCTAATGACGCGATGTACGACCAAATCTTATCAAAATAAAGAATGCCATATTCCACAACATTGTACCTTACTTTCTGATCGCATTTTTAAATTGTGATACGCGGATGACTCGTCCCAATTCACAAAAATATTCGGGGCTACTAATTTGCATTTGTTTAATTAAAGTATAATAGAAAATTTGTAATTTTTATCTGCGAATAAATAGGAGTTGGAGGCTCCGAATATTACTACCAATTTGCAAACGATCTGGATTTAAATAGTGAATTATCGAATAACTTTTTTACCCAATTGAAATTACTGCATTTTTACAGACAAGCTTGTAGAAAGAAAGGAATATATTAAAAACTATTTTAATATCTAGGAATGAGAATTGCAAATAACACTGCCGCCACGAAAACTCGTTAATCAGAAACATGATTTGACATTTACCGGAGTCGACGGAGGGGGAATAGAGTTTCAAAATTCGGTAAGAGAAAAGTGAAACGATGCTTTACTGTGACAACAGACAATGCCGGATAAATTGTTTTTGGAATGATTACAAGGATTTTAAGAAATTGATGAGGAGAGGACTTTATTGGGGAGAAAGGGGACGAAACCGAACCCGTTCTACCCGAAAGACCTTTAAAAATTCGAGTGCCACGACCGAAAGGTTTTTTCCTCCGTCGTCGTTTGCCGGTCGCTTTCTTTATGTCAACGAAACTTTGCCTTCGAAATATTGGCATTACGTTAGTTTTATACTTTCATAACTTTTTGCCCATAAGTTTCCTACTTTCATAATTTGAAACCCATTGCATTGCTTTTGAATACCAAATGCTTTTCAAATTACATTTGAAAAGTGCAAAGACGCTCTTTCCCGGCGAGTATCTACAATGCCCCAGAGGAGTGTAGGCGAAATTATCTTCCTACACCCTAACCGGCCGAAAGTGAAGAACAGCATTTTATGCAAAAAGTATTGGTCGAAGATCTTTGTTTTCGTGTAACAAATCAAATGTTCTATAAAAGAAATCTTAGAATATATCCAACGCGAAAACAGGGCCACGGCGGCTGCCGAATTTTCTGTTGTAATTGACGAAGTGTATAAAAAGCACATCTCCATTTATTGCCAGGTAGCGATAACGACAAAGTATTATTTTACGCCATCTATCGGTGCTTCCATGAAGTCCGAACCACGTCCCGCGGTCCGAGGTTACGCATCTTCGCTTTTACGTTCGTAATTTGCGGAATATTTACTCGATTTCGGGGGCCCTCTGGACGCCCGTAGTCTAAAAGAATCGCTCCAGTATTCTGAGAACATTACGTTAGAAACGAATCGAAAACGAACGTAATTTTCGCGAATTATAAAATTCAAACCGAGATTTCCTTTCCGATTTTCATTGAATGTTTCTTCATTGATGAAAAGCATTAGTAAAACATACTAAAAATAGCATTAATTTTAGAGAGATCGGGACCCGTAAATTTTCTCCGGGTCCGAGACAGGTCTAGAGGTAAACCTTTCCGGATCCGGTTTCTTTTTCCGCCCTGTGGGCACTAAGAGGGCCTCTTTTAGTAAGCTTATTATTGATTCGGCCAGACCCACAATGGCCGGGTGATGAGGGACGGGGGCCAACGTATCCGGAAGGAACATCGAAAAATTCCCGGGGATTTTTCGATTCCTTCAAATTTTTATTCCCAGTTTGTCCAAGTTTCCGTAAACACTACCCTCTTTGGACGTTCAACGAAACTCAAAACCCCAGCAAAACCTTTAACACTATATGAATAATAAAATTCATAGTGTTTAGAATTTAATGAAATAAAACGGACGTCCATTGTACTCTAACCCCTCACCTCCTTCCTGTCCGACTTGCATTAACCCCTCCCTGCCTTCGGGTGTGGACATCATTTATCCTTGATTAATTTAATTAATTAAATTAATCTCTTAGATTGCACAGGCTCGCACAAGTGCAGTCGTTTAAACTTAGAGTCTAATACAGTATTGTGGGAGTAACCAGCAAACGCGATATTTTAATCGAAATAATGAGTAATGGCTGTAGAAGATTTGTTTATGATTTTATTCGTTAGTTGTGTTTAGCTTGGTTTTTGGTCTAACCTCAACTTTACGCGTGCGATCGTTGGAATGGCCGAATTGCTTGTCACTCGAAATTGAAATTTCCAAGGAGAAGCACACTCGTTGGAAATTTCAATTGTTAACATAGCTAAACCTCTTCCCAAATAAATGTCGGTACGAATACGTCATAAAACTTGTACTTTGGCAAAAACGTGACGTCTTTGTTTTCATCAAATATAAAAAGTCGTACTGTTTACGAGTTGGTTATTCTAATAAATATCGATATCTTCCGACAACTATGACGACTTTCATATCATTCATTAATAAATTCTGAAAATAACTTCGATACCGAGCTTTGTATATCCATTGAACTTTCAATACGCCACGCGAGGAACGGAAAACGACATATCCAGAATGGGCCACCCCGAAAAATTCCCGATGTTTGTCTACAATACGGATTCGATTTCGGGACAGCCCGAGCGGCGAGCCTCCATATTAACAGCTCGGCCATCAGTTTTACATTCGTTGTAACGACGATGTGAGGTTGTCGATTCGCGAATGATGGAGTAGTTCCGGATCGTATGTGGGAGCGAATTATTCAGAGACAAACTTCACAGTTACATAATTATGGTCCCGACTTATTGTTACAAAAGAATGCTTACAATATCAAAGCTCTTCCGTTGTTGGGAAAAATACTCTTTCCTGGATCCTCTCCTTTCCACGGAAGGTGCCGTCCCGCGGGTGATAATCTCCTGAAGTCTGCTCGGAGGTAGATTGTCCCGGGACGTTGTTGAAAGTTAAATACGAGAACTACAATCTCTTTTTTTCTCGTTTTATCGAGCATTTCTTTATATGGACACGAAATTTCCACGTCTTTATACCAACAATCTTACGTAATCGTTTTATAAAATTCCGTTATAACTTCGCGTTGTTACGAGTGTTTTCGGGTCCTCACAAGGATAACGTGAAACCTTTAAAAACAGCTTATAATTGAGAATAAATTTATGCCATACGTCTTGTATTAGGCCTGACAGCCCAGGATTTCTATATATTTTACGCAGAAAATTAAAACTAATGGAATTCAAAATTCACATTCATTTCAGATTACTCAAAGAAAGAGAACGGATAAGTTTTTATTCCATCAAAAATATCTTTTATTCATCTAAAACAACAATTAAATTGTTGTATTTTCAATATTTTGAAGGCCAATTTATAATTTTAATATTTCGCTTCCACGATAAACTTTAAAATACGTCTGACACGACCCGGATAGCGATTAACAATAAATACCGATCTCTATAAAGTTATTCGCGTCATTTAAACTTCCATAAATAAAATATAATATTTTATTTTTTCAAATATCTAAATTTTGTAAGAATTACAAGACTAAACGCCTGTGGACGTCATTCGTGACGTCATTACAACAATACAATATTTAAACAATTGTTAACAGATCAACAATGAAATTAAATCATTGTTGAACTCGTCCTCGTCGAATCGTTCTTCAAAATTTTCCATTAATAAATGAAAATCATTCAATTCTACGGTTTTTTTTGAAAAGTTTAGAATAAAAATTAAGAAATAAAGAAAGAAAACGAAAACCCACAACAGAAATGAGGAATCGAAAAATTCCAATGAAAAAAAATTTCCGAGGATTTCGAAAATGACGGCAGCAAAATACGAACACAGTTACTACAAAATTGGAAAATTCGAGAAAAGTCAAAATACAATTAATAACGTGAGTCATTTTATTCTACTTTATAGTTTAAATTAAACAGAGTACTATCGCTACCGGTTTTAAATTAATATCGACCCTCGCTGCGATGAACGGGGCGATGTTCCGACGGGAGTCGGGGCGCTATATCGTCCCTCGCTGCGACTGAATGGGGAGATATCCCGACGGGAGTCGGGGCTTTAATATCGACCCTCGCTGCGATGAACGGGGCGATGTTCCGACGGGAGTCGGGGCGCTATATCGTCCCTCGCTGCGACTGAATGGGGAGATATCCCGACGGGAGTCGGGGCTTTAATATCGACCCTCGCTGCGATGAACGGGGCGATGTTCCGACGGGAGTCGGGGCGCTATATCGTCCCTCGCTGCGACTGAATGGGGAGATATCTGACAAAAGATAAAAAGTATAAATTTTGTTTTTTACAATAATCAAATTCGTAGCAGGTACAGTGCATTTTGCACGTACAGTAGGAGCATACAAGCCGCCGTGCTAACTTTTCGAAACTGCCCCCTCGAGTGTCAACGAAAACGATTAAAAAAGTAAACATTTTTACAATACGTATTTATTATGTCGAGAACTATCAATACAAGAGTAATCACGCAAAACAAAAGAAGGAAATTACATTTGAAAAGTGCAAAGTACAGTTATCTTATGTATCTTATAACAAACAATGCCGGATAAATAGTGATGACATGGAGTGTAAAAGAAAGAGTTATTTTAGGCCTACATAAACAAAGTGTTATTTTAGGCCTATATAAACAAATGACAGTTGTAGTAGGCCATCAATAAACCTTTATTCATATTAGCGAGGTTGCGACCGAAGTTTTCAACGCGAAAACGTTTGCCTAGAAGTTTGACAATGGCGTTTAGAACGTCAGTGGAATTATGTTCGACGTTCCAAAACNTTAGGCCTATATAAACAAATGACAGTTGTAGTAGGCCATCAATAAACCTTTATTCATATTAGCGAGGTTGCGACCGAAGTTTTCAACGCGAAAACGTTTGCCTAGAAGTTTGACAATGGCGTTTAGAACGTCAGTGGAATTATGTTCGACCTTCCAAATGCCATTGTCAAACTTCTAGGCTTACAAGATAGTGGCGCTAAACGTCCGACGTACACGTTTTCGCGTTTAAAACTTCGGCGCAACCTCGCTATTATACTTTTGATAGTGCAGAATAAAATATAAATTATCAAAATATGTAGAGCCAATGTGAGTATCATAAGAAATGTAATTTTCGTGTCAAAAATGCAAAAGTATTTCATCCTAAATACTATTTCTAACTATTCTAAGTCAAGTAAAATTGTATAGCTCACTTTATGTAGTGTTAAAATTAATAAATTATTTTAAAAAATTGTTTATCTGTATCTGGATCTCATTTCTATGGTTTTTTAAACATCATTTATCCTTGATTAATTTAATTAATTAAATTAATCTCTTAGATTGCACAGGCTCGCACAAGTGCAGTCGTTTAAACTTAGAGTCTAATACAGTATTGTGGGAGTAACCAGCAAACGCGATATTTTAATCGAAATAATGAGTAATGGCTGTAGAAGATTTGTTTATGATTTTATTCGTTAGTTGTGTTTAGCTTGGTTTTTGGTCTAACCTCAACTTTACGCGTGCGATCGTTGGAATGGCCGAATTGCTTGTCACTCGAAATTGAAATTTCCAAGGAGAAGCACACTCGTTGGAAATTTCAATTGTTAACATAGCTAAACCTCTTCCCAAATAAATGTCGGTACGAATACGTCATAAAACTTGTACTTTGGCAAAAACGTGACGTCTTTGTTTTCATCAAATATAAAAAGTCGTACTGTTTACGAGTTGGTTATTCTAATAAATATCGATATCTTCCGACAACTATGACGACTTTCATATCATTCATTAATAAATTCTGAAAATAACTTCGATACCGAGCTTTGTATGTCCATTGAACTTTCAATACGCCACGCGAGGAACGGAAAACGACATATCCAGAATGGGCCACCCCGAAAAATTCCCGATGTTTGTCTACAATACGGATTCGATTTCGGGACAGCCCGAGCGGCGAGCCTCCATATTAACAGCTCGGCCATCAGTTTTACATTCGTTGTAACGACGATGTGAGGTTGTCGATTCGCGAATGATGGAGTAGTTCCGGATCGTATGTGGGAGCGAATTATTCAGAGACAAACTTCACAGTTACATAATTATGGTCCCGACTTATTGTTACAAAAGAATGCTTACAATATCAAAGCTCTTCCGTTGTTGGGAAAAATACTCTTTCCTGGATCCTCTCCTTTCCACGGAAGGTGCCGTCCCGCGGGTGATAATCTCCTGAAGTCTGCTCGGAGGTAGATTGTCCCGGGACGTTGTTGAAAGTTAAATACGAGAACTACAATCTCTTTTTTTCTCGTTTTATCGAGCATTTCTTTATATGGACACGAAATTTCCACGNATATAAAATTTTAAAAAAAATGTAATTACGAATAAGATTTTTTGACAGAACAGTAGAAAAAAGTTACAAAAATGCTTGAAAACGATAAAACTACCTATTAATAAATAAATAAATCAACTTTTTCTCGCCGTAGTGCGACTCTAACGCCAGCTACCGACAACCCGACACATTAACTGTACTTTAGAGCATAGCGCAAGGACCAGTATATCTTATCGATTCTGATTAATTAATTAAATCTTGGCAACAATGTTTCGTCGATATCGATTTTAGTAAAAATCGGCAGCAACTAACTACGGATGTTTTAAAACATCATATTAGTCGTATATCTGTTTTGAACATATGGACACATCGTACCCGTCGCTAGTCTTGTCTGCCGTATTTATCGAAAATAAAACGCGACC